AGACAGTCAAAGCACTCCCTGACATACAGAGCCACCCTACCTCCTCCCCTTCCTCGCCTGTCCCTTCTGAAGAGCTTATAGCCATCCACTGCAGCACTCCAGTCGTGAGACTCATCCCACCATATTTCTGTGATGGCGACTAAGTCATAGGTATTCTGCTGCACAACGGCTTCCAGCTCCTCCTGTTTGCTGCCCATGCTGCGTGCTTTGGTGTAGAGGCACTTGAGCTGGGCTACTGATTTCTCTCCCGACATTGGCGTGCCGATCCTAGGCTCTTCTCTAGTGAGCCTGGTTTTATCCCCTTCCCCCTTTGAACTTAGTTTAAAGCCCTCTTGATGAGCCCCGCCAACTCATGAGGAAGAATCCTTTTCCCCCTGTGAGACAGCTGAACTCCGTCTGTCCCCAGCAGGCCCGGTGTCGTGTAAACCTCCCCATGATCAAAAAAGCCAAGACTCATTAAAGCCTATGTCCTCCCAGCTCCTGAGAATAACATATAGAAACAGCGATGGGCCGAGGAGATGCTGGGTATGCACACTGTGGAGAGGAGGCGTGAGTGAATCATTTGGTCTTTGCTGAAAAGGTCAAGCCAGGGACTTTCATGTCTCTTTAAAGCAGTTAATCAGTGGGATGTCCTAAACATGTGCTTACAGGAACTTTTCTTTCTTTTTTTCCCTCCTTCCCTGTCCTGCAGGTCCCAAGGGAAGAAGGAGGAAGCTGTAATCTTACTGCGGGACTCCATTAAGTACGGCCCAGAGTTCGCAGATGCTTACTCAAGCCTGGCCTCGCTGCTAGCTGAACAGGTAACGGGCGTCGCTCAAGCTCTCGTGCCTTCTGCGCATGTGTATGCACTGCTGCCGCAGCCACAACACCTCCTGTGCATCCCAATGGAGCACCCTCGCCTTGCACACATGCGGTGGCAGGCGTGGGTCCGCGGCTGTCCGCAGAGAGCTCTCGGGCTGCTTTAGAGATGACTTTTTCAGCATAGGAGGCAACTCATTCGCCGTGAGTAATTACACCCACATGATGTGGCTCTGAATTAAATCACTGTTGAAGTTGTGAGTAAATACCCTCTCTGCAGCTCCCCGCGTCTATGATGAAGTCTTAATCCATCGCACCTTGAATGTTGTGACAGCAGAATAGGCGAGTGCTTCCCCCTCAGACACACACGCCTACGTAGGTAATCTTGAGATTTCATAATAAATCACTCCAACGCTAGGAAATGTCAGAAGCCAGATGGCCTCTGCAGCCCGTTGCATGCATGCATCGGAATACGGCCCTTAATTACCATGGTAGATGATCACGTACTGGGGGTGGGAAGGCTCACTAGCTTTATGTCGCTCTTAATGAGCAGCTGTTCGATTTTATTTAACCTCATTGTTCAGTATGTGCCCCCAGGCCTTATTTACTGAGCATGGCCCAGGCTGCGCTCTGGAGGGAGGATTACTTATTTCCTCTTGGGCTTGTTCCCCATGCTCATTACTTAGGGCTCTCCCTAGTCTCTGTAGTTAGGTAATTTATTTCTACAAGGTCCCTGTGAGGTGAAATATTGTCCCCATGGAGGAAAAGGGAAATTGAGGCACAAAATGCTTGAGTTCAGAAGAAGCCACGAAGCATGGGTGCCCACGTCGAGACCACCAAGCCCTGCTTTTCTCCACGCCTCCAGCAGCAGATGAGGGATGCTGTGCTTCGGGCGTTGCTCCCACGGACTGCGGCCACAACCAGTGGCCCCAGTCTGGGGCTACAGGGGTGGGTGACGAGGTCCTCATAACTGCATAGCTCTAGCACACTTCTGCAGAACTTTTGAAAACTGCTTTTTTTCTCTCCCAAGTTTCAGATCTAACTGTTCTATAGCACAGGTGCTAAAGCTTTCTTAAAAGATTGCCACATGCAAATACAGACAAAGCAAAAGAGTATCATTTTTCACTGTTTTCTGTTAATCTGGTTAGTGAAATCTTCTCTCTGTAAGGGAAGTGGATAAATTTCAGCAAAACTATAAACAGAGGTCTTGTTCTGGTTTAGGCTTCTTTAATGATGTAGGCACTCTGCAAACCTCACCTATGATATATGTGGATTACTGAAAGATGTGTTATTTTATTTTTCCTTTTAAGTGACTTTCAAATATTTGAATATCAACTGCAGGGACCTAGAAATATAGTGTATGAATTGAAAGAAGAGCCTTGTTGAATGGGAACTGTGTTTTGAATAAGTCTGTCAAAGAGTATCCTGCAAGTATAGGAAATGAGTCCTCCGCAGTAATACCTGGTTTTAATATTAATTGAAATTATTAATTAGAACCATCGATTGGAAGGTCAATAGAGCAATAAAACCACTGTAGAGTCCCGAGGCCTTCTGCCCAAAGCAAATGCCATTAGTAAGTCCAGCAATAATTCATCTACTTTTACGTACAGATTGTTCATCCTCTTGTGACTTGAGTAAGTGGTAGGGAAAAAAAATAGTTAGTACAATTTCCTCAGAAAATAGCGATTTCCTGCAGGCTTTTAACACCTTTTCATGTTTAGTCACAGCAGATTACTACCTAATTGTGCAGCTCCTGCCTCTCACAGCCATGCTAGTGATCGCAGTAGGGGCTGTCCTACAAATACATGCTGCTGCTCGTGGCTGTGGGCTGCAGAATCACACCCTAACACTGTGCGCTTCCTGGAGGGGTACGGGCAGAAGTTTTGGCATCTTAACCCAAAAGATAATGATGGGACCCCATTTTTCAGTTTTGGGTTTTTCTCTTTGTCCAAGCAATAGTGTCCAAAATGGCTAAAAGTTACAAACCTGTTTTTCTGCCTACTTGTGGCCCTACTTGTGTCTCACAGCTGTAGGAGTATCTGTGATACCAGGCAGTATGCAGTAGGCTGCATGGACAGCATCGGTGTGGAGCTTTGGGGAAGGGAGCACAAACTGGTTCCCTCTCGCTGGGCTGTGATAGAAAGTTGCTGAAGTGCCGTAGGTGGCACATTAAAATAACTCGCATGAGGTGACCGTGGCCATGACAAACTGCTGCTCCTCCAGCTTTGCACTAGGGCTAAGAAGGGGGGAAACGGGTGGACGCAGCTCAGTGAAATAGTGCTGGGATTGCCTTGATCGGTCCTGCACAGCGTGTTCCCCCCATCTTAAAGATGATGAATCCAAAATGGGGCTTGTGGGTCCTTTCCTCCCACAACTGTAAAAAATGTTACTGAGAGGAATGTCTCATGTGCCAGGGAATTAGCCTATAACTCAATGTAATTGCCCTTTTCTCTCCTTGATAGTTGACGCTGAAGCCAGAGCTGATGTGGAAAAAAACCCCTCCACATTGTATAAAACAGTTTGGCTTGCTTGTGCCTTTTATAAATGCTTGCCCTTCTTACTGGTCTTTCTGCTTTATATCATAACTCAGTCACAATATATTGTTGTTTTCCGTGATCACTGCAGTGGTGCTAATATGAGAAATCAAACATTTGTGGTTGCTGTTTCCACACCACTTCTGTAGCACTGCTTCCCCAGGATTTACTCAGATGCACTTGAACAGCATCTTCTTCCCAGCTCTTGTAGTTTTATCAGCCATCTCATGCTACTTGATGCCTCTTTTCAGGCCCTAGTTTCTGGATTCAAGAGATTTTGTGTGTGTGTGTGTAATAATATCAGCCTACACTAAGAAAAAGAAACTTTTTAACCCACTTAGCTGCAGAGGAGAGCCTGCTCAGTCATAACCAGACTGAAAAACTGAGCCATAAAAAACCAGACTTAAAAATCCTGGAGTTCAACTGAGAGATCCTCACATGCATAGTTTTTTTAATATCATAAAAATCTCATACATTTTTTAAGCCAATCTTCTGAATTTTGTGAGCTTGATGAATGTTTCATGAAGATCTGGGAGTGGCATTATTAAGTGTTAATGAGAATCAAGCCTTGATGAACTTACAGCATTTCTCCCAAGAAGAGGAGAGGCTGTGAGGGAGAAAGCTCTAGCACAAAAAGCTGGGCCCGTCCTTTCCCATTTCTGACTGCGCTTAATGCAGACACTTCGTTGGAGAAATCATCCCAGACTCTACGCGGAGCCTGAGGCATTCAGGGTCAGGATGTTAGGTGCCAAAAAAGCAATGCAACCATGATAAAAATGCTAAAAGTGCTCAATATCGGTGAGTGTGAATGTTTTGACGTGGGACACTGCTAATCTAGTTTACCACAGCCCTTCCTTGCTTTATAAACCTGCTCGGGTTTATGATCAGTAAATAAAATGAAGAAAACTGACATATGTGCGCACAAAGCCACATTCCTTGGCTGAAAATTAAAATCAGAGGAAAAGAAAATAGTACAGAAATCTTTGAAAATATGCTTGTTAATGTCTCAGTGACACAGATGCTTTCTCAAAAAATTGCTCTTCATTTTAGTCAATTCTGATGATCGCTACACTTTTCCTGACCCTGCAGGATAATGATGTCAAATTCACATAAATATATCCAAAATGTCCAAACTTAAGCACTTTTAAAAAATGTGTTTCTGTGTTTTATCACACACTATCTTTTCTGCTGGCTGACCTTTACCATGTAAATGTGAAAGCACTTAACCATGGCAAACTGTGCGCTTTCATCAAGTCATGCTCTTTCAGTGCGATTAATTCCAGCTCTCCAGTTCTGAAATAGGAGGTGAGAAAGGAGTCCACACATTTAAGCAGCTACAGAGCAAAAGCTGCCGACAGGTACACCCTTAATATCCAGAGAAAGCCCTGTAGGCTCTGGGATTTGCAGGACTTGAGGAAGGGAGAATCCATAGCTGGGAATGGACTGACCTCTTATTTCAATGTGGATTCAGCTCCCGAGGAGGAGGTCTGCCTTGGTGGCTCCAGGCTTTCCTCGGCAGAGAAGCCGGATGGCTGATTTCGCTTGGGAGCATCGTCAGGAGGCTGTGGAATTTGTCACCATAGGGCTGTGCTGCTCCATGGAAAGAGAAGAACTGAAAAAAGCATCTTCGGTGCTGGAGGCTTGCCTGACGCCCCTCTGCACCGTGCTGGTCTCTGCTGTTCACGGCCTCCTTCCGTAAATACACCCAACAGCAAAGCTCTGAGGTTAGGGGAGGAGGAAGACCGTGATAACCCATGCTAGCGAGCATACAGGCAGTGGGCATGCACTGGCTGGCTCGAGGGAAATGGAAACCTTTTTAAGTTGCTATTTGATCCAAACGAGATACCTTATTTTCTTTTCAGGACTGGGCTGCCCGTAGCTCAGGCTAGACAGAGCCCAGCCAGTGGGACACTTTCTGTAGGCAGGGTGTTCCCAAGGAAAAGATCTATATTTTCCAGAAATGCTCAGCACCAAAGAACCTCCTTGAAATCTATGCAAAATGTAAGGGCTCAGCACATCTGGGAATCAGCACAGTCGCACATCCCATCAATCCCAGTGAGCTACATCTCATGCATTGACAATGCCTGGTTTTAATCTGAATCTGTCAGATTTTCCCCACTCTTTCATCGCCCTCATCCTCCTCCAGCTTCCCTCATCCCCCTGCATGAGCTCCCCGTCCCCCAGCCATCACACACGCCAAGCTTTCATTCCTTGTATTTTCCTTGCTGCTTAGGGAATGAACAGCAGAGCTCCAGAGGGGAAAAGTTAGCCAGCGAGATGCTCATTAAACAAATAAATTAAAATATATCAGCTCCCAGATGACAGATATTTCTCAACAGACCCAACACGACCCCTGTCGCTGTGTGTTTCCCGGCCGGGTGCGTGCCCAGCTGGGGCTTGCTGACATCGCACAGGAGCCACCTTTTCCAGCTGTTATTTCTGTTTCACAGGTAGCTCCAATTGCAAATGTATGGGGGAAAGCTGTCTGAATTGCTCTGGGGTACCAGACGGCAGCTATATCGCATCCATGCCATGGGGTAAAAATTTTGGCCTCCTAGAAGGCGGGGTGGGCTGGCAGCCTGAATTCCCTGTGCGGTGAGGGAATTGTCACAAAATGCAGGTATGTGGCAAATGGTGCTGACACCCTTTCTGCCATGGCTAAGAAATCTCCTTCTCTTTTAAGGAACGGCTTAAGGAAGCGGAGGAGGTCTATAAGGCTGGCATAGAGAATTGTCCAGAGAGCTCTGATCTGCATAACAACTACGGTGTTTTCTTGGTTGATACCGGTAAGTGAGAAGGAGCAAGGGATTTTCCGTCTTTGCCTTATTTGCTTTGATTTGTTTTATTCATCAGTACACATCTAGAAGGGTGTCAAAAGCTTCCAAAGCAATAGATGTGCCTCCACTGTAGCTTGGAAATAAATATCCCCACACTGCTGAGATGGCAGAGCGTACTGAAATTTGTAATCAATGCAGGCACTGTGCGGCAGTGGCATTCAGCCCGGCTGTTTCCTTCAGTGTTTCTCACCATCTTTGCACAGGCAGTTGTCCTCTTCAATTTGAACTAGGCAGCACCCTGACAATACTGCCGTTTCTCCAGGAAAGCATGGCCACATCAAACCAAATCCCAGGCACACATTATGGTCTTTAGAGCACTTGCAGCTCTACTTGGTGACAAAGCAGCTCTTTGACTGTAAAGGTTGAGTGCCACCGCTGTAAAAACAAACATGGCTTTTAAACCACAGTAATCTGTGAAAACAAAACCTAAGATGCTGTGGGGTGAATTGATTTCTCAGGAGCTCCGAAATGGCATCCAGAGCCTTTATTTTCTGGACTCCTGGTTCCCATCCAACTTCCCTGGACTCAGGCACTTTCTGGCATCCACATAACAACAAAAAAAAATGCCACTGTAATTGCCACCTTTTAATGACAGCTTCATAAGCAAGGCCAAGTTTGACAAACGGCTAGTGGAAACCAAACTACCGTCTCACTCCGGTCCCTCTAGAACAGAGCTGAGGCTCAGTGATGAAATATTATAGGCTTAAAGTGTGTGGTTGCTACCTATTCTGCCCATTTCACACCGTGCCTGGCTGTGGTGGTGCTTGGGAAGAAAGGACGATGGTGTCTGTCAGCCTGCAGCTGGCTGTCCTACCTCTGAGCTCAGCCATTGTTCTTCTGTAGTACCAGTGTGAAATAAATACAAAGCCAAAATGAGCATTCGTAATCAAAAAGGGCATCATGGCGTTAGTGACAGAGGTTGAGGTTCTGAATTTGTCTCCTGGCAAAATTCAAGCTTGCAAATAATAAAAATTCCTCAGTAATTTCACTCTGACATTGTACTCATCTTTGCTTGCCAACCCAGATAAATTGCCCTATTCCTGCCATAAATTGTGGTTCAAACGCAGTGCAGTGCGCTTTCTATTTTTTGCACTTGTGTATCTGCCAAAGTCAAAACTAACTTTTCCTCTACACGCAAACAACAGGAAAAAAACCCACTGACTTTTGATACTTCAGGCATGATGTGTAAATAATCCTCCTGGAGACATGACGAGGCGTGAAGGAAGTGGCTGGTAGTGAGACCGTCACAGGCTGCACTCTTCCCCGGTGGGCACAGGGAGTGTGAAGCACCACGCCAATTAACTTGCAGGATTTTGTGCAACAAGCCTCCAGCAAGTGTCAGCTCTGGGGAGCCATAACTCTAGACAGCTCTGCAGTGGTTGTAGACACTCAATGTGTCTCCCTTAACGATGTGCATTACCCCTGTGTGTTGAGCAGGGGAGGCACTGGCTGGCTTACGGACTGAGGTGCATGCCCACCTGCTTCCCAGGATGTTTTGTAGATATGATTTTTCAAAAACGTCTGCCTGCTCAACGGTGGGAGAAGATCGAGGCTACTGCTGGATGTTTTGAAAAAGTCCTACCCTGAAAGATATGTCGCTGGCCTTGGATGAATCTTAAATGCTTCTAAATCTCCCTACAGGTGTCCCTCCTCTCTTCTGTAAAGGAGATGCTGAGAAGCGTCAATGTCACTTTTATGTTGCATAGTCTCAGGAAAACCAAACTAGATGTGAAAAGCTATAATAATAAAATTCCCACGGCAGTTCAGTGCCCCAACATGCGCAGGCTGTTTTCAAGTTCTGCTTTCCTGATAGAAATGGAATTAATCACATTGTGAAGTAATTTGACTTAAAAAATGCCAATACTCAAAAACTTTGTTGGTGGACAAAACTCTGTGAGTATCGGTTTTCATCAGGAGATTATCTGGTCTAGAGAGTGCAAACCAATTAAACAAGCACTGGGGTTAAAAATATGATACTCGCATTGCTGAAGTGATGGAACTTTATACTGTGCCCCATTAATTTATTTAGTAGGTAGTCAACAGGCCCTATCTGAGGAAAGAACTGCAAGATCCTTCTTGAGGAAAGCCATTATTTAGATAAAGAAAAATACACTATTTGGGCTAGTGGTCTGGCACCTTTCTTTTTGCATGGTGGTGTATTTTCTTGTGGTGCTCGGTGATGTCATGGGCTGCGGGACCTTGCACCGGTAGACATTTTCGCACAGCGAAGCAGTGCCACCCAATGGCTCCTCTGCAACACAGAGATGGTGCCTACATGCTCCAAAATAGGCAGCTGGACACCTCTGGTCTGGGATTTATTGCCCCGAGGTGGGAATTAGCTGGTCACTGGCAGTTAGAGAGAGACTGAGTAGGACCAACGCTACAGAGGTGGAGAGAATAGTCTGTTTGGAAAGAGCTGTAGTAGTAGAGAGTAGTAGTAGAGACTGAGTAGTAGTAGAGAGACTGAGCAGTAGTAGAGAGACTGAGCAGGACCAACGCCACAGAGGTGGAGGGAATAGTCTCTGTTTGGAAAGAGCTGAAACTATTTGCAGCTCTGGTGGGGTTGTGGGGACTACTGGGTGGCTTGTTCTCCGTGTCTCCGTTGCCCATCTTTCCTGCGGGCCAGGGTGGAAGGATGCTCTCCCAGGAGGTGGGACATGCTCCCCAGCCCCCTCTCTGGAGTGGGCTCTGTCCTTAGCACGGGGTGTGCGTCCCCCCGCAGCATGATCGGAGGGTGCTTTCAGTCAGGAGTCTTCTTCTGGTGACTGTACCCTCGACTTGCAAAAACCCACCCCTAGAAAATCTGTTTCTCAGGATTGTCTCTGAATATTGGAGCCTAAATCTTAGTTTGGACAGCGATTTTCATGACACTTAATCTCAAAAGGCTGAGGCAGGATTTCTTTCTCAAAATGGTTCCCATGCATAGAGCAATAGATGAAAGAAAACCCAGAGCATTACTGCGTGCTGAACTGCAAAAGGATTTTTCTGAGGCACCAATTTAATGGTTGTTCTCCTCTCCAGGAGCTCCCGAGAGAGCCGTGTCCCACTACAGGCAGGCCATCAACCTGAGCCCCGCTCACCACGTGGCCATGGTGAACCTGGGCAGGCTTCACCGCTCCCTGGGGCAGAACAAAGAGGCCGAAGTGTGGTACAAGCGGTAAGAATTTGGAACAGGAGACAGAGGTTTCCTTCCTCCCCCTGTACAGCTTGTCTCTGCTAAAGAGCCTCTGATATGTGAATCTGTTAGTGCATATTTGGGTTTTCCTCCCTCCCTTCTCCATCTGTTTGAAACCAGATTTGCCTTTGCTTATTTGGCTATTTTTGGGGAGTGCTTGGAGAGGCAGCAGACTCAGGCAGTGTTGACTTCCCTGGACCGTTCCCAAGCCCCCAGGGTGGACACACTGCTGCTTTTGGCTGGGGGATGCTCTAACAATAAAGCCCGAGGTTTCTCGGTGGCATGAGCAGATTGTTAGCACAACTCCCACCCTGCTCCAAGCTGGTCTGTGAGTGCCGCACCAGTAATAGCCATAACTGCCGCACAACCCAGCACCAAAACCTTGGCACCATCAGGAACTCAAGCCCTTCCCAGGTATGTGCCGGTAGGCAGGCTCTGACTCCCAGTATGCAGCAGGGTGGACTCGGGGGCGGGTTTGCCTCCTTTTTGGCATCCAGATTTGTGCTCACACTCCCCAGGTTCTGCCACTGTCAGTCATCCCCACCCCTGCTGCATGCTCGCATGCACTTTGGAGGTGGCCCTCTCCCCTTCTCAGGTGGCCAGAGGGATTGCTGCTGTCGGTATGCTCATCCGTCCCTGGGACCTTAAATTTGTGCTCCCTGGGGTGGGTTGAGCGTGCCATGCAGAGTGCAGAGCTCTGCTGCTCGATCCCAGCGCTAGCCACACCTCCCTTTCTGCTTTAATCCCCACACCACCTGGAAGCATCTCTTGTTCCCAAATTCCAGGGCACTGAAGGTATCTCGGAAGGCTGAAATCCTGTCCCCACTGGGGGCTCTGTATTACAACACGGGGCGGTATGAAGAAGCGTTGCAGGTTTACAGAGAAGCAGCATCACTGCAGCCTTCAAACAAAGAGATCCGACTGGCGCTGGTGAGTGTGGGGCAAGCTCGGCCAGGGCAGGGCCACAAAAGTGAAGCACCCGCTGCTGGGTGCATCATGTATTAAGGACGGTTGAGCTTTTTAAGATCATAACCCTTTGTAATGTGGCTCCGTAGGCTCAGGTTTTAGCAATGATGGGGCGGACGAAGGAAGCTGAAAAGATGACGAACCATATACTCCACGAGGATGTGGAGTGTCTGGAGTGCTACCGCCTTCTGTCAGCCATCTACAGCAAGCAGGAGCACTACGCCAAGGTACCATGGCCCCAAGGTACCCTTGTCCCGAGGGTCACACACAGAGCTTGGGTTGAATTTTACATTCCGTCTCTCCAGAGACATGTCACGTGCCTTAGCGCACATCCAGTAGATTTATTTTTCCTTCTGTTTATCTAGGTACTGGGACTGAAGTTAAGCAGTGGAAAGGCGCAGAATACAGTAACACAATGTCCTCTTGCTTTTTCACAGGCACTTGAAACTATAGAAAAAGCTCTTCAGCTAAAACCAAAGGATCCGAAAGTCATATCAGAGCTCTTTTTCACTAAAGGAAACCAGCTAAGAGAACAGAATCTCCTTGACAAGGCTTTTGAGGTATGACTGTTCTAAGCCCCATGGATAGTTTTGTAGGTTAAAAGATAGAGTTAGCTCATTGCCTCTAATACTCCCTGGTGCACGCACCCTGGCTGTTGGCCTTGGGAGCTCAGCAGTTCACCAGTGGTGCAGCTAAAGCTATGGGGCAGCTAACTTTGCCAGACTTAGTTGCAACATTTTCCCTCATTCCTGTGTGGAAATACAGCTCCGTGCTCTGAGAGGTTAAGTATAGAGTCGTGGTGGGACTACGGAGGAGCCTAGGCCTTGTCACACTGACTAGACCCTTGGTCCATCCAGCCCCAGCCTCTCGCACTGGCAATGGCCAACTCCAGGTGGCTCAGCTGAAACCTGTGAGAGCCCATTATGTTGTTATATCTCACCTCATTATCTTATAGCTGAGAGATTGGCTTATCCTGTGGAGCAGAAGGCTTGATAGCTCAGAAATTAGTGTTAGTGTTAAATAATAGCACAGAAAATTGTTATTGGGACAATTCTGAATACTCTCGATAACCCTAGAGATGTCTAATCCTGGTTTGATCCTTTCCTGCTGTGACACCATAAAAACAGTGCTGTTTGACAGAGTCCAGAAGGTCCTTGTTGCTTCTTCTCCCATGCACAGTGGCAGAAACAGCGGGGAGGGATAGCACTGCCCTCAGGTCCTTGTGAAACCTCCGTGCAGGTGCCTGTACTGTAGTAGTGTGCTGCCGGCTCCAAATTAAAGCCTTGCACATAAGGAGCATCACAGCCCACACATGGCTTGTGAGTGGCAGGGACCTGCCTGAGGAAATGCCCCTGATGTGTAGGAGACCCCCGTGGTGCAGAGTGGCAGGGAGACGGTCGCAGGGGTTGGTGTGGCTCGTCATGCAGCGCCGTGGGCAGGGAAAACCTGTGAGACGAGCTCAGCGGTGAAGCAGTATGCTATGTCACCTCTGCTGTAAAGAAACTGAAATTCAGCTTCTGCATTGTATATGAGAAGAATTTGAAATTATATTTTAAATGGATTCAGAGGGAGAGGAGACTTAGTTTCTCTTTCCCCTCCAGTGGGGCTTTTGTTTGAAGACTCAGACTCTTAACCTAAAAATGTTTCATATTTATGTAGAGCTATAAACGGGCTGTGGAGCTCAACCCAGACCAAGCGCAGGCCTGGATGAATATGGGAGGCATTGAGCACATCAAGGTAGGACAATTTTGCTTTTCCTTAAGCTGTCAACTGCAGAGACTACTGCTCAGGAGAGAAAGCTAAATTCGTTTCAGACTGCCAAGAGCTGCATGTTTGTGAACAGTAAGTGTCCCCGATGTATTTTATCCAGAAAGGAGAAAGTCCATCTACCCCAACTGGAATTTCTCAACCAGGTTGCTTGGGAATATGTATCCAGTAAAGATGTAAATCCCATATTTGTAAGGGGACAGGCCGCAAGGAACAACTTGTGCATCTCTAAAGTTTTCCTTGCTTCAGTTGTTGACCTGCCTTAGAAGAATGTCACCATGAGTTGACTTTTAAGATTCCTCTCTACCTAATCAATTTAATAAAGATGTCTAATGCAGCATACTGGCATGAAATTATGGAAATAGACAGCCCGTCCTGTGGTTGCTTATATTTTTGAATACTTTAGCATATCATTATGATTTGGGTCTTAAGGAGTCACATTGTGTCATATCCTCAAGCTATCCTATCACTGAGTAAAATTAACTCTTCTGGTACAACATAATGGAAAAATGTAAATCTACTTCTTGCCATGTGTGTTTGATCAAATTTAGGTTAACGGCACTCGGTGATCCATTTCATAATGAAGAAGTATTCCCGTTACCTAACAATATCAAGTTTTATAAAATCTTTTTCCTTTGTATTACGGTCTTCACCATCCCCAAGGAATGAACTTTCTATGTTAGGGAATGCGAATGAGATCTGTCACTCATTTTCTTTGTAGGGGAGCTATGTCACTGCCCGTGGCTACTATGAGAAAGCCTTACAGCTGGTTCCAAACAGCAAGTTGCTGAAGGAGAATCTGGCCAAACTGGATCGCTTGGAGAAACGGTTTCAGGAAGTCCAGGAGAAAGACCAAACATAGCATTCAGTCACCAGTGGAAAGAAACTCATGCCCCTTGGAGAAGAGTATGGTGGAAGCCTATTGCTTGAAGTGATGCTGAAGGAACTTTGATAGGACTCAGAATTATGGAAGGCAAATTCTGAATGCATGCTTATGTTTGACCAAAGTTACAGGAGACACTTGCTCCTGTGGGACATGCTGGAGAATGAATGAAAACCTTCCTTTAATCAAGATTTATGTTTAGGCTGAACCTGATTTAATCACACTGGGAGTGTGGGTGGGACCTATACCTTCAATGTCTTGGTTATCACTGGGGAAACCATGGAGACAAAGTACTCCCCCATTGCAGCGGGATTGAAGTAGCACCTCCTGTTACTCAACACAGGCTCACCTCGTCCATGTAAAGTACCACTGATGGGCTTCATTGCAAGTGCTGGCAGGTCCTTCTGAGCCAGGAAAGATGGTCATAATGGTCACATAAAAAGGTTTCAAGGGGTTAATGCTGAGGAAATGGTGGCCACTTTTACAGCTCTAAATATGACTTGAAAATTATTTTAGAGAAAGGGAAAATGATATCTGAATATCACCCTAACAGGATGATTCTACAAGTAGGACAAATGATCCTTTGAGGGAAAACCTCACCTGAATGTTTTACTCATAAGATAGTAATTTTGTAGTAATTCAGGTTCATGATGCCAGTATTGTCAAACATCATATGGCTTTACCCTTTGCCCTCTCTCTCCAGGCCGAAGAATTATTATTCCATTTTCAAAAAAATGGAAGCATCCAAAGGTAATGGGAAGCTCTAGGATTACTTGTCCTCCTGTCCAGTCCCCAGTAAAAAAAACCAAAAACCTGATCTGATCAATATAGGAGGTAAAGTAAAGCCACAAGGAGATTAGGGAAGATTTCCTAGCCTGGGTAGGTACTAAGGAGGCTTTTTTATGGGTGTGCAGGGACAAAGCCCATTTATCATTGTGGTAACACTGACAAAACACTTTGTCAAAGTGTTCTGACCCCCTCCCCCAAAAGATACAGAAAATGACCTATAGCTGATCAGTCGTAAATCTATATTTTTAAATACTGAAGTGGGAAAACAAATTCTCTTCAGAATTGGGGCTTTTATTTTTGAGCTTTATTTATTTAACTTATAATAATCAAATAATTAATATATTTTCTCTGTTTTATACGAATTGGGCAGCATCCTTCACAGCTGGCCACGTGGCTGGGCTTTGTGACTTGTATTGTCTGAAGTTAGAAAAATGCAGTACCACCGAGGCGTGTTTGAATAACTCCCCCTAATGACGTTTCTAAAGCAAATGGCTGCAGAGCACATTGGACCATACTGTCACTGCAACAACAGCACTTCTGTGCTTCCGCCGGGGTTTGTACCAGTTCACAGAGAGTGTTAGTGGGATCGTGCTTGGTGCCACCGCCTTTGGGTTTGGACATCAGGGTAGGTCATCAGTTTGTTCATCTTGCAGCAGGAAACTGCCATAAAAGTTGTTATTTGAGCTTGCTTGTGGCCAGACCCTGCAGAAGGGCAGCCCCGGGTTTGGCATTATTAGTAAAGGACAGTTCAGATTAGGTATGCGATGCCTTGATACACATCTGTCAGGAAAAGCCTGTGCGACAGTGACCCACGTGGCGCCCGGGTTTAGTTGGCGCTGGCCATGGCACCTCAGCAAGCTCCAAATTCGCTCAGTGTGATGGGACAGCCGTGTGCTGGTGGCTCCGCTGGCTTCATTTAAAAAGCTGGGTGTCTAGCTACTACTGATGGTCAAATTAGTGACAAATTATTAATGTGACTCCAACTGCATTTGGAGCTCAGAGGGAGTCCAGACTGGTGCAGATGTCTGCCCTGCGAGGGCTTGTGGACCTGGTAGAGCCATGCTGTGTGCCCACTGAGACGAGGCTGGACGTGGGAGGTACTGGTCCCCACTGGCCAAGGAGACCGGCCAGGGCCTACAGCTGGGCAGAGGTGGGAGGGAGAGACCAGCGGGGGGAGAAGGTGGTGACACATGTTTCTGGGCTCTCTCCCTTCAAACCAGCTTCCCAAGGGAGCAGCTGGGACCAAAATAAGCAAGTGTTTTGCTGGTGAATTTTCCCTTCTCCCCCCAGCCCAAGCAGCCTACTTTGCCTTCTGGGGCCGAGGGCAGGTTTGAGGTCCTGGGCCTGGGTCAGCAACCCTTGTCTTTTCACACAACTTCTATGGCCGTAGACTTGCTGACCTGACATTTCTGCAGGTCCCCAGTGCAGGCGCTCCGCTGGATGCCATGCGTGGAGCAGCTTTGCACAGCCCTGGCACTGCCAGGATGGCCGAGAGGAGATGGGGTTGCGCCAGCAGAGTCCTGTGGGATGGCGAGACCAAAGCTTAAATGGCCTCTGAGAGCAGTCGGTTCCCCACCGTGCATTGCAAAGTTGTAGATGGTTCATTACCGGGTATTCATTATTCATTATTCATTATTCAGAGGTACCTGGACCATAAAGCTCTCTGCCTCTCCCCAAGGTGAGCTTGCCTTCGGGGCAGCTGCCCAGGCTGGCTGCCTGCGGTACCGCCGCGTTGCAGCGAGTTCGGGGGCTGGCAGAGCGGTGTTTGGTGCAGCCCCCAACAGCGGTGCCATGCAAAGCCCCCCGCGGAGGAGGCATCTGCAGTGCCCTGATAGCTAGCCGAAGCGTGGGGGGTAGAGGTGGGGGGAGATACGTCTCATTTTAAAACGTGTGTCAGCTATAAACTTTGCCTCATAAAGATATATTAAATAAATGCTATATATTCTACAAGCCCCACAGCAGTGTGGCTTTAAATTGTGGCCAACGAAACATATTTTTTCAAATATAGAAGAAGTTGTATTTTTCGTAGCAATGCTTTGTGAGGGGGAAGACTTGATTTTGTGTTTTTAACTTCAGCTAAAATCTTAGTTTGTCTTTCCTGAGAGACCTGATAGAAATGATTGTCTCGTTCTTGTCCTAGAACCTGATCAAAGCCATCTTGACCTCCTAAAATCGATGCACGTGTAAAAGTATAATATGGCTTTGGGTGCCCCCCCTCCCAGATCCTGGAGAAGGATTACCATTTTTGCAACACTGTCTTACTTGCAGAATAACATAGAAAGATGAGGCCATCCTCCCGGTGAGGGAGGCGGTTTGGTTGGAAGGCATGGTGTATGTTCATCCACTCGCCTGAATTAGGCAGGTAACATAACCACGGAGTTTAATCCCAGCTGAACTGGATTACGTTTATATGCCGAAAGGCCAACTCTCCACATTTTGGAGCTGGGTTTATGGTAGTTACGGAGAGAGGAGGGCTCAGTCATGAACCCTGCTTTCCTGAACCAGCACTTTATACCCCGTCTATGCAGGATGACTGTCTGCGCACTGGCAGTGTATTTGGAGGACGATTCAGACCCTGAGCTACCAAAGCAGTTAAACCCTTGTGAAGTTTTGAGCTGACTCCCTGTCTCGTTGGCGTCCGTGCTGAAATGCTGTGTTTGTTCAGGACATTAGTTTTGTGAAAGGTTTATTGCAGGCAAAGAAGAAGAATGGAGTATGATATGAAATAGGTTACCTTCACCAAAATGGAATGCTATGGTGGAAGATAAATAGAGCGACTTACATTGTGATAAACTGGATATTATCCTAATTAATCATAGGAAATGTCCTCTTCCTCTAGCATTGCACAGCTTCTAAAATAATGAGTTATAAATACATTGTTTTCTGCCAACTCCAGTGCTCAGCATGGTTAGCAGAGATTACAAATTAATAAATGGCTGAAGCTCTACCTGGTGGGGGAGAGTTCGCTCTCTGTGCAAGTTGCATTGGCTAAACCTCAGGGCTCACCAATATTAAAGTGGAAAATTAATGGAAAGCTGGTTAGACAGGACTCTCATGTACTCACTGTGCGTTTTAATCCTAAATGAAAAACATAATAATTGTGTTGGTTTTTCCTTTCCCCATGAATAATATTTTCAGCCGATGGATTTTATTTTATTTTATTTTATTGCTTATTTAAAGTCCAGCATTCTTTGCTTCCATTCTGTTTCCAAGCCCCAGGATAAATGATGCAGTGGGGGGCATTTTCTCTCTCTCATAGACTCCTTGGACTAGATTTTCCTACAAATGTGCAGGCAACTTGTTTTGGCCAAACAGTAAGTGAATGCAGCAGTGCAAATGGCCTTCATTCCATTCGACGAGGACAGCGGGGGTGTGCATGCATGCACATGGGTGGAAGAAGTCTAAGTCAAAAAAATCCAAAATAAAGAGCCTAACTTGCAGGGGAGGCTGGACACCCCTAAAATTACCCAAAAACTATGAAAGCTTCTCAACAATTACAGAAACCAGGCCAGCTATGGTGTACAATATTTGGTAAAAGAAGATAATTGTCATTCTAATTTTAATAATTAAGCAATTTAGAATATAGTTATATGATATTTTGCCCCACTTGTCCTTCAACTTGGTGAAACGGTATATGCTTAAGGCTCCTCAATCTGTATGTGATTAAGTTGACCAAGTGCTCAATTTCTATCTTTCATATATGCAATTATGCACAATCTTTGGAAAAAATTAGCCCTTAGAGGGTTTTTTTTCCCCAACCTTCAGTCTCTTGCAGCAATTTCAAAATGCACCATTTTGCTTTCATGTACATTTAAACCCAGCAGCAAAAAAAAAAAAAAAAGAAAAATTAAAAAAAAAGCGCTTGGCATTCACTGGTGTTTCAATGTGGCAAAGTTGCTTCAGGTAATCTCGATAACTTTGTGCAAAAGTTCATTGCCATGTTTGTACTGACTTGCTGAAAATTTTTTCTTCTGGAAAATACCCCCAGTGGTATCCTCTGTAAAAGTTATGGCTTCTACAACTGTATTACTGTAGAAATCTCTGCCTGAAGTGAATGTCACGCTGCGTGTTCCTCTCATGCGGGAGTTGTTTGCATTGCCTGTTGTTCATATGGTTCTTATTTCTGTATCTAATTTTTTTTTAATCAGTTGTGCATATCTTTTTAAAAAAAAAAAAGAACAAGAAAACAGCCCGTGGATTAGAAATCTTTTAAAAATAAATTCACACTTAGCAGCAGCTGGCTGTATGTCAGTGGTACAGGAATTTGCAAAGTCTTTGCTTTTTTCACTGTGGGATTTATGGCTAGATTTCACATAAAGGAGTTATGCTCCAAGTCTTTGCAAAAGAAAATGTATGTAAATGTCTATTTTATATAAAAAGTAAGAAAAGTAAGTGCCATGTCTGGTTTTGTTCTCTTGGCTATGGGGTCAGTCTGTTCCTTAGGACCAACCATGAATAAGTTCTTCTGGAGGTGGAAGGGCCAAAGTTTTTTGCTCCATTTGACTTACGTTTTACTTCCCAAGGAGTCCCAGTGATTGCTCACGTAGGAGCAACTATGCAGCACATGTACTTGAGTCTGGCCATATAAAAATATTGGAGCAGGCATTTTTTGGAGCCTGAGCATGAGAAAGGATGAGGGCTGGTGCTTACACGGTCTTAATGATTGGACATGTTATACTGACATAAGCTCTTCATGTCAGGCTTTATACATCTGTCGGGAATGTGTCAAACAAACTTAAGTCTACAGAGTGCAAAGAGAAAAACAGAACAGAAATTAAAAAGAAACTAATTTTGTTCTAATTCCCTTCTTCCTAGCAGACATTCCCAGATGCTCCTGCGTGCTCCCAGGGCTTGGGTTCACTCAGAGGGTCATGATGGTGATAAACACCTCCATTGAAAATGGACCTGAAAGAGAATCGAAAGCCCTGAACACAAGCCATAGTGGTTTTTGCCATCTTGGTGTGTGCAAAACCTTCTCTAGCATGTAGGGGAATTGCATGCTCACTTTGAAGTCAGCCTGTACAGGCTGAAGTTCTCCTGTATCCCAACAGTGCAGGGTTTCTCAACGGAGCTTGCTCTTGCAGTATGTGAATAACAGCTCTCCCTGTAAAAAAGGTCAAATTATTTTCATCCTTATGGCAGCTACTTAAGGCTCTCCATAAGCTCCACGTATTGCTTCACAGGTGAGAAGCTGCTGGAGGTTTCAGATCGCTCTCTTGGTGTCCTCTGGGAAGGAAGAAGAAACACACTGTTATGCTTTATAAAGGCGCTCCCCCTGGCCGGCATGGGCGAGGAGAGACCGTGGGGTGAGGAACTTGGCTGGACTCGCCTTTGCCTCTGCTAACCCTCATCTGCAAAAGCAATGAGATTTGTTTCAAACCGCAAGGGCTGAGGCAGCTCAGGGCTGGTGGCAATGGTGAGGGGGGACATTAGATCCTGTCCCCGTGGGGAGCGGGCAGCAAACTACAAACAGGAGAGCCCAGGGAGCTGGTGACCCCCAGCAGGACATGGCTGGAGAGCCTCCAAACCCACCTGAGTTGCAGCCCTGCAGACTCACCTGCCAAAACTGATTGGCTCCTCATCTATTAAAGGGGCTTGTTAGCTAGGAGGAGAAGGGTTGTTCCTCCTGTGTGTAGCAGAGCATAGCCTGGGATCCAGCACTGGCTGCTCTCCCTGGGTCATGGTGGGAGCAGGGCTCCTCTTGCTACTGGTGTCCCTTCTCGCTCCTGGTGAGTGAGTCCTGTGTGTGGGCTGTGGGGCAGGGGCTGTGGGGAGATATGCCCCAGTGTGGGGGCTACAGCAGCAAGCACTGCTGTCACCCACTCTCTTTAGGTACCAAGCAAGTGAATGTAACGAGTCAGTTTTCACAAATCGTGCAAGGGCTTGGTGTGCTCGCCCCTGGTGCGTGATTTTGGCCTGCCCTTGCTGTAGCTCTGCTGGGACTGGAACCTTTCTTACCCTCTCCATCTAGGTGCTGCTCACCGCAGCCTTCTCTTTGTCTGCTGTGGCAAGTGAGCCGTTCCCCATGCAGGCTGCTCATCTGTGATGTGGTCCCTTGGCTGTGCAAGAAAGAGAAATAGCTTGGTCTCACTGAGCTTGCTAACTGGTGACCCTGGGGCACTCGGGTCAGAAAAGTGTCTAGGGGAGCAATGAATCGCAGCATGTTCTCAAATCCTTCTTGCACATCCTCCTGCAGTGTTTATAACTAATGTGTTTATAACTCCCTGTCTGGCCTGCTCCCACATCCATGTAAAAATGTCTTTCCTAGGGATGCTTGTAGGTAAAAGCGGGAAATAAGCACAGGGCAGGCTGCAAAGGGGGGCAGAAGAATGGTGATCTTCAGAGTGACTTGCTCCTGGTAATGAAACTATTGCTAAAAAGATCTGCCCAGCTGGGGCAAGAGGTGGGATAACCAGCTGATTGCCATCCCTCCCACCCTGCTCCAATATGATGCTGGTCCTTCTGCTGTTGCTAATGCTGTTTCTCTCCTCACCTAAGGAAATGGTGTTTTCTCCATCATTTACCTCCCTGATAAAGTCTATTTATTTTCTACCTCGCTAGTAGACTTGCTGCTATAGCAATAATCACCACAGTTTCTTGTTGGAAAAGCTAGTCAGCAGCAAGGGCTAGGAAGAGCTTGGTCCAGGTCAATGGCTTGGAAAATTGTGCCTGATTTTGTGACTGAGCTTTCTGCAGTAGTCAAATGCTTTGAGGCCAGAGCGTGCCCTGGGAATATGATAAAATGTATGAAAAAAGGGAGGGAGAGAGAGGCTGGGCTGAACAGAGCAGCAAGGAGCTCAGCCCCTCTATAGCCAGGACTGCTGCAGGAGTTGTGCAAGGATCCCCATAACCTTGTGGGGTGAGTCCCACTTGTTGCTGCTGAGGTCTTGGGGTGGTTGGCTGTCTGGGTAGACGAGAAAGGTGTGGGCTCCTCAGTTCACTGGCACTCAGATAAGACAGTGTGAGAGATTGGTGGGCTTTTTAATGCCTGTCAACGTGATGGGAAGGCTAAGCAAGTAGCACTGCCTTCAAGCCTACACAGAGGACATAGGACCCAAAGTTAAAGAGAGGGCTGGGGGGGTGTCGTTGTGACATTTTGGATCCAGACTCAGTCTCCTGGTGACTCCGTTGAGTTATTCCAGGCTCTCGCCAGGGCAAACATGATGTGAGTACCTCCTAAATCATGAGCATTATATTGCTTATGTTTGCTTGGCTGGGAACTGAACTCTTATCCAGCCTTGGCTTGGGAGCGGCAGGGGACCCCTCCTATTGGCGTAAGAAACACATTGGACAGGAGTGATTAACAGAGTAATTTTTAGCTGGTGCAGACATGGGGCCAGCTGAAGGGAGTGGAGGAAGAGCTGCTGTCCTCTTCATAGCAAAGGAGCCAGGAGCCTGATGCTACCCCTCTCCCACAACCACCCAGCCTGGACAAGCAGACCTCCGGTACGAGAAGTTGCAGTTGGTTCCTTTTCTTTGCATCCCAAGTATTTGAGATCGCTCCTCCTGTGTGATCTTTGCTGTGATAATTGTGTTCTGAAGCTGACCACCCCTTCCTCCTCCTCCCAGCGTGGGGTCTGGCAGGCCTGTGGGTGTGTGCATCACTCTCCCCTGAGCAAGGACTGGTGGGGTTTTCCCTAGAAAACATAAATGGGATTGCCATGAATTTATCTCAAACTGTGCAGTTCAATGAAGCATCTAAAACATAATCAGACCCAGCTACCCCTAAGTCAAACTTTCCCCGTGCTCGTTGCCACATTTCTAAGGCACAATCGGTGCCAAAAGCGATGTGAGAAAGCTCTGTCTCCCTGCGATGTGTTTCAGACCAAAGCCAAGACTGCGTGCTGGGCCAGCTCAGTTCAGAGACGATCTTTCATGATGACTTGACTTGCTCAGGTTAAGTGCCACAGGGCACTTAAATATGGAAGCTTTGAAATAATAAACTTCAAATAAAGTCAGGTGGCATCATTATAACCTGTTGCAGTTGTTACTTAATTTTGTAAGTCTCTGTTGCATTTCATTAAGAATAATTAGGCTACTGGATGAAATCTAAATTTGCCTTTTTTTATGACTGTGCACACACATCATGACAATACCTCACAGGAGACCTCAGCTTTGCACACATCGGCTTTTTATCAAGAAATGCAATTTCCATGTGTTTTCATTTCTCTCCATATAATTGCCTTCAGCTTGGAGCTGAGGCTGGAGTCAGGAAAGCTGGGACACCTGGGACTTGTCCCATTAATTCCCTACCTGCCAAAAGAGCCTGGGGTGATGCATTTGAGCATGTGGGGGATTGTCTCACTGCGAAACACTCTTGTTTGTCTTCTGTGTAGGCCTGAAGTGTGGACTTCATCCCATTGACCTGAACAGCCCAAAGGATGCTCTGCTGCTGGGATTCTTCTTTCTAATTGTTGGAGGGAGAGAGTTGGTGCCTGGAGGGCAGCCCTGGCAGGTCTGTGTTGCAGTGCACTGCCTTCCTCCTGGGGAAGCGGGGAGAGGCAGCAGCAAAATCTTTCATCCTCAAGTCACTGAACGCTGCTCACTCAGGAGTGGAAGGTGGTCTAAATGTCCCTCTTTCCCAGCTTCCCAGGCTGACCCCCCTCCCAAAGTGGGAGGGAATGAGCTGATCTAATGGTTAAGACAAGATCTCTGGCTGGTGTAAGCTAATGCAGCTGCAGAGCTTTTGTGGCATGCACCAGCTGAGGATTTCCTTGCAGGGATGTTGCAGAGGTGGGAAGGGAGGATCCCTCCCTGGTGCCCTGCTGCAGAGGAAAGTCACCTTGCCTAGCAGCTTGCGTTCACGTAAGGAAAAGCACTGAGCAATGATTGTGGGATGATGCCTTACAAGTAACTGAGCAGAGCATGGCTCTACTTAGAAAAGTACTACCTGGTTGCATGTTGCCAGAGCAAATGCTGGCACCTGTGGCAAAACAGTATTTGCTGCCTCTCTCCCCACAAAACCCAGTCCCTGCACATGCAGCGGCTTGAAAATGTATGTGGGTAGTAGCATGAAGTGCAAGAAGGCACAGGAGGGGGTGGTGTAGGGGAGGGTAGGGTGCTGGGGTCAGGAGGATGTATCCTCTGGCTAGCATCAAGCCCTGGGGAAGCTCTTGCAGCAGTAAGAAAGAGGAGTGAGATGTCTGTCTGGTCCCCTCTGTTTCGGGATGCTCCAGGGTCTCATTCTTCTCATGTACTACTGGGGCTGAAGGTGGCTGCCAAGGGTCAGCCACGGCTTGGAAATGACTCCCCCTGGGCATCCCACACACCAATACTGGGAGGAAAAAGTTGTTGGCTGGGCTGGGCTGATCTTTGTTATTTCATATTTTAGGAGGAAACAGGAGTCACCTCATCTCAAAACATACCTGACCCTTTCTTTGAAGGTGTCCCTCAAACAGGGCCATTTCCATTTCTGTGGTGGCAATCTGGCCCGAGAAGATGTGGCTATTACCCCTGCTCACTGCGTGGTCAACCTGGAGCAGTAAGTCAGCCTCACCTCCTCACTTGGTCTTGAACCTCTTGCAGCAAGAGCTCCCCCCAGGACACCGGGAGTTCCCGGGCCCGGCTGTGTGGTCCCCAGTTAGGGAGGGAAATGGCCCCTCTGGGGCTGAGTGGGGCCAGGGCGCTGCCACAGTCAGATCTGTGGGATGTGTCACTCCAGAGCTGTGGGTCCTCGAGCAGCTCGTGCACCCCCCAGCACCCTGCTTGCTCCTGTTGGGTCTCTGCATGTTTCTTCCAAGCCTGTGGAGAGGGCTCCCCCGCTCAGGGAGTTTGCAAATCAAATTCGTATGTCCTGTTCAGCGCTAAGGAGCTCTGTGAGGTGTGGGCAGCCCTGGGGCAGAGATCAGGTTGTGGGGAAAACTCCATGCTACCATGGTTCTTTTAAATGTCTAAATCCCTAATCTTAAAGGGCTTTGTCTTTAAAAGACCCTGCTCACCTAAGCAAGCATCCAGAGAAGCATTTCTGAGGCAGAAGGAGAAGCACTGCAGCGTCCTGGTAAAAGCAGCCCTGGCAACTGTCCCGTTACTCCTAGTACTTGCATTGGCTTCTGTACTTTTAACGCAAGACCAGTTTCACAGGCCATGCTAAAGACCTCTTAATGGGCAGAGACAATGATATAAGTGGCCTTTTTGCCAACCCTTTTATAATCCATTATAATGTAATTGCAGACCAGTCAGCTTCACATCTTTTTCTTGCTCAACTTGAGCATCATTTTTGAGGACTGATATGGAATAATGAGAAAGTTGCTATGGTATAAAAATTTCAATGTGCAAGGTTAACCTTGATAATGAGGCACCTCCTTGTTTCTTTATTCCGTGCAAAATTAGCCAGTGCTTTTACTCTCCACTGTTATGCTGCCAATCCTGTTCCTATGTTCCCATTACTGCCGTGTTTGCATTGCCAGGCAATCCCGGTGTCAGACATTGCTGGGAAGTACGGGAACTTTCCAGTTCCAGTAACCAGCCTCCTGGGATTAAAGCTGAGCTGTGCCATTAGTGGGTCTGTAACCTACGGCCGGGCGTGATTAGAAAATGAGAGGAAGCGTTTCCTGGGGGAGGGGAGGAAATCTTAATTTACTAGAAAGCATTGAAGCAAAGGCTCAGGTTGAACCCCCCATACCTTGACTCAAAATGCTCGGGACCACGCTTCAGGGCAGGCAGCCGTAGCAAAGTGTGTGCCCACCAGCCCCCTCAAGCCAGGCTGCCCGGATTTGCCACCTCCCAAGGCTGCATGGGGGAAATAGCGCGGTGGTAATTCACAGCAGTCGGACTTCCATGAAGGGGTGCAACCCCATGGAGGTTAGAGAAGAGATTGAGGGCAGGGGTTTAAAAAAAAAACAAACCACTATAAATTTTCTAGTTTCTATACTAGAAATCAGTGATAAATAGGCTTCAAAGCTCTTGTCTGAGCACTGGGGTTTCTTGGACTCTCAAGTGAATGTAGTCTGGAGAGAAAAGGCAGTTGCTTCAGGTCTGGGTTTTGTCCTGTTTCTGTAATAGTTCAGGCAGACCTTTAATCAGCCCTAATTGCAAAGAACTCGAGACGAGCTTGCCGCTGTGTTGCGCCCTGTGCTGTGAGTGTTGGTAATGGGAAATGCTGACAGCTGAAACGCAGATGAGTTTTGTGGCTCCTGTGGGTGTCTCTCGCAGAGCCTGGGACCAGGCGGATCAATGAACCCAGCTCATGACTCCCATTGAGTGCAAAACTGTCCCACCATGCGCCCCAGAGCACTTGCTGGGTCCCTAGAGGAGAGTGAACTCCTTTGCTAAAGATCTTGTTTGCTAAAGATGGGATCTACTGCCCATCTATTTACTGGGTAACTCTGCTCTGATAGTGTAGCTATCTACCTAATTGCTAAAAGAAATACTGAATGGTGTTTTGACTCTGCTGGAGCTGATTGCTCTGAGTATAACTGTGACATTATATGGCTTATAAAATATGCAGAAAACCCATAATGGGCATACACTTTTCTAGTGTTAATTTAAACTACATGTAGCTGCCTAAAATCATCATAAAGCTTTCAGATGTAGGCCTCTGCTCGTCTCCTAAATGCACCGATAACAAAATTAGAAAGGAGGATTTATGGGGCCAAAATGACTTGGCAATCAGTTCCCATTGCTTTTAAGGCTTCTCATGTGCCTTTTAGGATCCCAGACTGCAGGTAACAAGGGCTGAGCTTGATGTTTCAGGGCCAAAAATGGCACAGGGGTTGTGTGAGTCCCAAGGCGAAAGATAAACTGTCCTTTTCCCTGTACCAAGCTGGCTGCAGTGAAGTTTGCTGGCACCTCCCCTGGTCACCTATGTGCTGCCCAGGTATGAACAGTGGCTTGATGGATAGCAGATGAAACAAGAAACCTGTTTATCCATTTAAAAGTAAGTCCAGCTTTTCCAGCTGGAGGTAAGGGAATCCTCTGCATTGCCGCTAATGTGAAATCAGCCCGGCTGAAAGTCCTGCTACCAGAGGCCAGCCCCGGTTCCCAGGGCAGGAGCACATTGCGGGGTTGCAGGCTCAGTGTCAGGGTTTGCTTCGTGGAGGCAGCCCCTTCCTTCGTCACCCTGGCACTGTTTTTTTCCCCACCAGAAAACTCCTGAAGAGCCTTGGTGACAGTGGGGGAGTGTCACCTCCAGCGGGCGGACAGGCAGGAGCAGAGCATCCCTGTCTCACGTGTCATCATCCACCCCGCATTCAACCGGCTGCACTACATGGATTGGGACGTGGCCCTGCTGCACCTGCAGCACCGGGCCCAGTATGGTAAGCGGGAACCCACGGGTATGAGCCACTGCTGCAGGAGGGCGCTTCACGTGGGCAAAGTCTTCATCTGATGCGCTGGTCTAGAAAAAACACAACCCCTCTTCCTTCCCTTCCCATGCTCTCTGTGCTAGAGAAATGTCCCCTCAGTTATGCCTTTAATTCTTATCAGAGTAACACAATTAGGTTAATTCTTGACCTAGGCTTTGATTAATTGTCCCAGAAGTTTATCAGTTGGTCAGGGTCTGTGCTCTGGCTATGCCCATGCTTTCTTCGTGCACCAGATTCCTGTGTGTGCCCTTGTGTTCCCCTCGTACAAGCTGTACCAGCGCGGTTTCCTTCAGCCCCGTTGTGCCAACGCTAGCTCTCGGCTAGCTGCTGGAAAACCGTCACCTTCCTCTTGGCCGTAGCCCTGGGCTATTAGCTAGCAGTGGGCTGCAAGGGTCCTGCCCACTGAGAAGCAGGCTGGATTAAAACCTGCTCGCTCCAGGTACTTCTGCAGGCAAAGGCGAAGCCTCTGGAGGTGATTTTAGGGTGTCGGAGTTAGGGAAGTGGCACAAGTCTCTCACTTTCTAGGCTTTTCAAAGGCAATTCCCTGAGTTGTATAGAACTACGATGGATGGGTTACAGCCAACTGGCCATGACTGCCTGTGACCATCAGATGGCAGATCAGCCAACATAAAATAACCTTCTGTCACTGTCATGTCTCAAATCATCGGCTTGGATGGCGATAGCCTTACAGTTTGCCCATAATGGCAGGAATAAGGGAAATAAGACCCAAGAAATGTTCATTTCAGGGCTCAGACGTTCTGGCAGGCAGCATGAGGGAGGCTGCTTGAGGGCTGCCTGTGTGCCTGTACTCTGTGGCTAAGCAGGTACGTCTCTAGGCACGAACTGGGCTTGACAGCATCTAAGCCATATGGACAACCCTTGAGGAAACTACAGGGCTCCCTGCTTAGCCCTTCTGAAGGCTGGGCACTGCCAATGGCCCATCAGGGCAGCCAAGGAGAACTGTGATCCATTTTTCTCCCAATATAATGAAAAAAATAACCAGTAAGACTCTGGATTGAACTCAACTGAGTTTTTCATGTCCTGCATAACTCCTGATCTGATCAGCACTGGTCTTTGGGGAGAACGGTGTAAAGAGTTTCCCAAGTACTGTCCAGTTTCCATGCTGTATGAGAATGATACAGAGCCAACTTGCTTTCCTTTCCTGGTCCCTGCCATGCTGCTCCCCCTCTTCTTTTGTCCCCTTCCCAGGTATCCTTCTGTTTAAGTTAACATTCAAAGATAACTAACAATAACTTGCATCATGTATAAATTCAATTACATGCGACTAACTTCAGTTTGTATTCTCATTTTACAGATACCCACATATGACACTGGTATTTTGGGATGGAGGGAAATGGAACAGTGACTTGAAGGATGCTGTTTGTACCTGTGAATCAGACATGCTCTTGGAAGCACGGGGTTCATGTGCTCATTTGTGCAGCCTTTCGTCTGCAGGGGATGAGGTTCAGCCCATCCGCCTTCCCCACAAGGATGAAGACTTCTAGGCTGGGACACTGTGTGTGGCTAGTGGCTGGGGCAAGCTGTCTGAGGACGAGTCAAATGGCAGGGTCTTCTGGTCACCGTTGCAGGAATAAAGGGTAATGGATAAGGGAAAGGAGCCCCTTTCCTTCAGAAATAGAAATGCAAGAGAAGGTGACTCCTGCCAGATGGAAAATTCAAGTACCCCTTTGCTCATCAGGTCTCCTCTGCTTGTCAGAGGATCAGCCCCTGTAGGGATGTGCAGATCAGCATTTTCCTGCAGCATGAGACCTTGGAGCACATTAGGGAAGGTTGCGCTTTGCAGTGCTGCTGCGCATATTCATGCATGCGTATCGGAGCCTCTCGCAAGCAGAGCTATCCATAGAAGGTGTCACAAAAGTGGGAATAGTTCCTTTGTACTTAAAAATGTATACTCTTTTATACTCTCTCCTCTAGATATCAGAAAACTGTTCCCTCAAAGGAATTGCACTTGCTTGAGTTTTGGCAGATTTTAAAGGAGATGGGAATGTCTGTGAATGTTGTTTTTTATTTTTACAACCCCAGTGGTCTGGGGCTCATCCACATTAGAGCAGACAGAGGAGATTTGCCTGTCTCCCACTCCCCAGCAACCCTCCCAGGAGAGAGCATGCTGTCTCCCAGCAAGGGCTGGTCTCTCACACTTGCAGCTTGCTGGGGGCTTCATCCTACTACAGTCTCCAGCCCTGTAGTAGGGTGCTTGGGAGAAGAAAGCAATGTCCATTGTCCAACCAGAAGAGAAAGGACCTGCTCTGACCCTGTTTTGAGGCACTTCTGTCTGCACTGGCTGGGGGCAAACCAATGCATTACCTTCCTAGCTGAGTGCCTGTGCTTGGTGATCCCACACTGCCTCAAAACCAGGCAGGCAAATGGTGTGGGACCCCCCAGCCGCTCGTGCCAGGGTGTTGGGGAGAGGGTGGATGTGGCTTCCAGGAGACGGGGCTGTTGGCTATCATTCGGCCGGAGGGGCGAGCTGCCTTGCAGAAGCTGGCCGTGGCCTGGTTGCTCCCGCAGCGGCTGGGGTGCTGGCTCCTGTCCTGTGGGAGGTGGAGCTGCCCCTCACTGCCCGCCAGGCCTGCAGCGTGCTGCTGAGGGGCATGAACCACTGGGCTCCATGCTGTGCGCTGGCTTTCCCGATGGCGGGAGGGACACGTGCAAGGTAACGGCTGGTCTGCCCTGGCTCCCACTGGGCAGCAGGCTTGACCTGTCTGCCCGCAAACCTTCTCCTCTCCTGGGGAGAAAGGGAAGCAGCAGCACTGACAGTGCTGTTGGCACTTTGCTGAGCAAGGGCTTTACAAGGAGCTTCAGGATAACGAAGGCAGGAGGAGTCTTTTTTGGGTGGGAGTATGGATGTGGGCAGGAGACTGAAGTGTGACTGCCCTCTTGCCTAGACCTGCCCTGAGCATTGCTAACAGCAGGACCTCCATCTCTGCATGCAAGTGCCACCACCTCTGCTGAAAACAGGGGGGACCTTCAGTGGTGGGACTTCAGGCAATGGTTAAGGGAGCCTGGCGTGGGCAATGCTACCACGAGGTTGGAAAGGCGGCAGTTCCCACCTCTCCCTCAATGTCCCCTTACACACACTCAAGCATTCTGACACCTTCACTCGGACAGCCCCACTGGGCAATGGGCTGCAATAGAGGAGTTTGCTCCATGCCAAACCCTCCTGTGCTGGTCCCAGCAGTGTGAGTGGGGCCGGTTTGCCCTGCCCTAGGGAGGGCTGCTGACCACGCTGTCACTAGTCCCCTTGGGGTCTACTTGCAAGAGTATTTTTTAACCAAACAGTAGCTTGGGAAGCTCCCTGCCTTCTGTCATACCTTGTGTGAACATTTTCAAAGCAGTTCTGCAGCTGATGTTAGTGAAATGGCTTTCATTTTTACATTTTTCATGGAAAAAAGGGGTTTGTGTACAGGGAAGGGCAGGGTGCCAAACTGCAAGTCAGATCAGGGGAGTGAAACAACAGAGCTTAGATTGGTGCGTTTTAGATTAAACAAGCACAGCTGAACGAGCAGGGATGGTGCCAGGCCCCTGTGACTGGGGAGAAGCAAGCAACGTTGTGTTGGCTTCTGCGGTAAAGCTGGTCTGTCATGCAACACTGTCAAAGGTTGGTGCTGCTGCACAGGAACAAATGGCACCTTTCCTCCCCGACGGGCTGCAGACAGGGTGACTCCGGAGGCCCCCTTGCACGTCTGAGGACTGGCGGCACCTGGACTCTGGCCGGTGTGGTGTCCTGGGGGATTGGTTGTGCCAGAGGATGGGATACCCTCAAGGGAAGCACCACGGCCCAGGGCTCACCAGGCACCTTCTCCCGGGTGGCTGTGTTCGTGGACTTCATTGCCCAGCACATGGCACCAGGTAGGTATGAGTACTGGGAGGTTTTTTCCTCTCCTGTCTGTTCAGCGCTGTAGGGACCCAAATTGCCCTGCTATTGCTGCCTCCCTCCCCTCCACCCACAGCAGTTCCGTTTGATTTCCAGCTGCTGCATCAGCAGCAAGGTATATAATCTTTTAATTTGGGATGGCAAAACCAAAGCTTCAAACAGATAAGTCCTCCTTCAGAAACCCTGTTACAATAGCAGGTCTGACCCCCGCATCCTCTGAAGGAAAAGCAGAAAGTTACTCAAACTGCCCTCTTTCTGGCTGAATGCAGCTCTTCCAGCTCGGCGAGGCGTCCCTTGAGTGCTGCATACCAGCCCCGCTCTAATAAAAGCCTGCTTTGAGCGCTTGCCAGCTCGAGATCTGAACGGCTGTTGTGCTCCTGAAATGGCATGCAGGATTGATCGGGGGTTATCTCCTCATCAAATAAACTTTGAATGCGTATGGGAAGAGGGGCGCTGTATTAAGTGCCACAGTTTTAGTGGGTTATCAGAAGTGCCTTTTATAGCTAGGCACAGATCTAGCGACTCCCCGCTGGCTGCTTGTATTTTTCTGTACAGATGATTACAGGGCTAATACAAGTTATTAAAGAGATAGTGTTATTTCTGTCATAGCCATCAAAGTTGAGGTGTTGGTATTAACTAATACCCAACCTATTATGGCTTTGCTAGGGATCCTTAATGGTTATGCTTTCAAAGGGGGACTGTCTGCAGCTAAGAAGGTGCCTCTTAATTGGGAGCAGTAACTGCAAGGAGCAGAAGCTACGTGGCTACAAAGTGGGTGCATTACCCTTTGCAAAGCAGAGCTATTGGGATTCACACAGACCAAATGCCTATAGAAGATGAAGGGAAGGCCAACATAAAAGTGGTGCTTCATTAAAAATGAGCTTGGAGTAGCCACGTCAGCTCTTAGCAGGCTGAATGAATGTGAGCCCACTGTGTTGGGCTGAAAGTTTGGGGATTTTTAAGTAGGACTTTGGGAAAGAAAGTGTGTGCTCTCATCTGAGGCTTCTCTCAGCTGCATGTCAAGCACTTTGTGTTTGAAACAACTGCAGTGCCATAGCCTGTGCCTTGACCGATAGTGCCTGTACTGCAATACCCCATACAACCCTTTTCTCTCCCTAGCTGCTGTGCCAAGCCCTCTCCCTGTGCCAGCGGAGTGCAGTTCCCAAGGCATCCCGCTCTTTGGAGAAAGTGGCCGCATTCGGTACCTCCAGGCTGTGGAGGATAATTACCCTGACAAGAGGTAACTGTAGTTTGTCTGTAGTAGCCAAACACTGAATTTTCCTTGGGGCACCCACCGAAGTGTTTCCCAGGGCTCGGAAGCCCTGACCACCGCTGGCCCGGGCACCGCTCTCAGCAGTATCTGGGTGACAGCGGCTGTGTGTTCCCTACAACGCAAACCCCCAGCTCTGCTCGCCGGGCTGTAGCCCTCGCTGCGGGGGAAGGCAGGAAGACACAAAGTCTGTTTGTAATACAGATTCTGTACGAGCCACGTTCATGAAATGGTTGCGGCTGGCTAGAGATCTGTTGTACCCTTTACCCTTTGGTCTGGCCATATCGATGCCAGCTCACACAAAGAAGCTTTCTGCTCCCACAGGAGGCAGGGGAATGAGAGGGACTGGGCTGGCGGTGTGTCAGTCACCCAGCACAACACTATCGCCGCTGTAAGGAAGCGTCAGTCCGCACCTAGTGCTGAGCAAATTCACAGCAGTCCTCTGCTGTTGGTAACTCTCTTCCCAGATGGCTTATGCCAAGGAGGAAGATGATAAAATTTACTAGGAGGAGCTGGTGACATCAGTTGTCAGCTTCTGGTGCGTGCTTGCAGGAAAGCGGTCACTGGAGACTCCCAGCCCACAGTGGGACTGCCAAGGGCTAAGCTCAGCCATGCAGATATACATGCTTTTACTATTGCTTGCTTCTAGCCTCTGCACCTGGAATATAACAGTGCCAGAGGACAAAAGCATCTTGATACACTTCACCAAATTAGATGTAGAGTACCAAGTTGGATGTGACCATGACTATGTGTCCCTCTATTCAAACGGAAGAGAGCTGATCAGTAAGTCTGGGTGCCTTGGGGTGAGGGTTACTGGGTGTAATTTCTTGTCATTCATTGCCATGAAGAACAGCAAATCTAGCTGGCTTTTGAGAATCCTTTTGTATTTGGCACTATGGTTCTAAAGAGCTAGAGACAACATGCAAACGGAGCAGGGCAGGTGGGACTGAAGGACATGTTCATATTTGTGCTGGCATCTAGTGCAGTGTGGTGGGCATCTCAAAAATGTCTTTCAGCTGTACACAATTCTGTGCCCTCTCTGTCTTGTCTCAAATATAGCTATTTTACTCTTACGGACCCTGGGTATCAGCATAAACTGAGTGCTTAGCATTGCTTAGCTGGTGCATGTCCAGACAAGTTTCTGATGTGTTAGCAGAGCCAGTAAGTGTCACTTGCATTGGAGACACAGCTCAAAGGCTGGCTCTTTCTTGGTTCAAAAACTGGTTATATGGTGCAACAAGCATGCAGGTGACTGGGTGTTGTGGTTTAACCCATCAGGCAGCCAAACACCACACAGCTGCTCGCTCACGCTGTGCCTCTCCCCCACCCCGGGCTCTGGGGGAGAGAATCGGGGAAAAAAAAAAAGTAAAATTTGTGGATTGAGAAAAGACAGTTTCATAGACCAGAAAAGGAAGGGAAAATAATAATAATAATAATGATAGAATATACAAAGTGAGTGATGCACAATGCAATTGCTCACCACCTCTGACCAATGCCCAGCCAGTCCCCGAGCAGTGATCACTGCTCCCCGGCCAACTCCCCCTAGTTTATATACTGAGCATGACGTCATATAGTATGGAATACCCCGTTGGCCAGTTGGGTCAGCTGTCATGACTATGCTCCCTCCCAGCTTCTTGTGCACCTGGCAGAGCACGGGAAGCTGAAAAGTCCTTGAGTCCTAGTGTAAACACTACTTAGCAACAACCGAAACTTCAGTGTGCTATCAATGTTATTCTCATACAAAATCCAAAACACAGCACTATCCCAGCTACTAGGAAAAAAATTAACTCTACCCCAGCCAAAACCAGGACACTGGGTAACTGTACAGATGAAACTAAAAGAAACGTGGCCTGTTGTCCCTCTGTAAGGTGTGCTTAATGCTGAACCAATAGAGAATAAATATTTCCTGCAAATACTGGCTGCCTCTCCACTCTAACTTAGTACTAATGGCGATGTGTTGATAATAATGTTAATCCTTAGTCCATGCAATTCATCCTCTAGGAATATTTGGTTGTTCATGTGGTTGTTTTGGATGTCCCACCTCCTCAATTTTTCTCTACCACCTCTATATATTTTATAGGTAATGAAAACCAAATAGTCTCTCCACTCAATGTAAGAAGAGACCTTCCCGATGGGATCTAGCCTAATGAACCACTGCGAGATTTGCCTGAATAAATGTATGTTCAGCCCACCCTTACCACCAACTCCTTGCCTCCCTCAGGTAAATCCTGTGGGAATGTGTTCCCAGCCCCTGTGCTGGCAGGGTCGGACCAGACCACCATTACATTTGTTTCTGATGGGAGCAACACTGGCTGTGGCTTTCAGCTCACCTTCATGGCTGTCCATAAGGACTCTGAAGCGGGTGACATCACCTATGCTGTAGAAGCTCCTTTCCCCTCCTTCCTGACCCTCTTAAAATAACAACTATCCTCAGTGTGCTTGGGTTCCTTAAAAATCAAGTTGTTGATTTGGGTTTATTAAAAGTCCCATATAATCCCATCTGTTAAATTGTCTCCTTTCTCATCTGTGTATTGCAGGTTCGGGCTGTGGGAGTGTCGCGATGTTAGTGGAAGAGGGCAAGATTGATACTGCTAATTACCCTGGCTTGTATCCCAGGAACACAAAGTGCCACTGGCTCATTGAGGCTCCAGCAGAGTATGTCGTAAAGGTAATAAAAGGAGAAACTGCACGTAAACCTCTGTACTAAGAACTGTTCAGGGGGAGCGATTCAATAAAATCCTGCCAGAAACATCTGCGACACTCAAGACTGTAAATTGTAAGGTTTCCAGGTCACTGATTCTTTGCAGGGCATATTTTGTCAATTAGACATGACCTCCGAACTCATGTATGGAGGGGCTGTGACTGTTGTAAGTGCTTGAAGTCTGTAGGCACCAATCTGATCTCAAGACAGCTTTATCTTGAAGTCCAGTACAGACATTTAGGGGTAAAGGGAAGGTAAAGAACATGTTGCAAAAAATATAGTCAGCCTTTTCCTCAAAGCAGTGTCAAAACCCTCAAGCTACTCCTTAGCCCCATACCAAGGTGTTTGTTTCTCACTGTGTATGGGTTGTGTGACAACAGTTCCCACTCATAGTACCAGCATCTCTTTATTTTTATTGCCTGTTGCTGCTTGTATGCAGCAGGCATCCCACCAAGCTCATCCCAGCCCATGATGAGTCATGTTGCCATCTTACATTGTTCAAAGCAGCAACATCTTTCCTCCCCTGCTGCCTTGGCGAAGAGGTGGAAAAATAGCGTTAAACCCAGGGATGCTCGAGGGTATGCAGACCTGTTGCTTGGGTTGCTGCTGCTCCGTTGGTGTGCGAACTTGCAGCCTGGATTAAAAACAAAACAAAGGAAAAATCACCCACTCTCCATACTTGAAGGAAAAGCTCTTGGAAGGACACTCCATATGTACTTCCGACCCTTCGGAAGTACAAAGCATTGAGTGTTGCAGTAAAGATGACAGCTGAAATCCCTTAAGGCAAGCTTAGGCCAGCCTCATCCTCCGCAGACCTTCTGTAGCCCTGCACAGGAGGCAGCATCAGGCCAAGATTGCCAACAGGTTGTTTTAATGCAAAATGTGACATGCTTGCCAAGGAATGCCATGCTCAAATTCCTCTGAAATCTAGCTTTTCTCCAGCCCATTGTTAAGAAGGGTAAGTGTTTCAGTCTTGATGATTCCCTCTGGCTTGTCCTCTTTGCAGCTGAAGTTTGAAGACTTCACTGTGGAACTTAGCCCAGGCTACATTTATGACGCAGTTACTGTTTACGGTGATGAAGAAGAAGTAGAAAACCAGTTGGATGAGCACTAATTGTTTCAGTCTTAAATTAAAAACTCCTGTGGAAACAGGCATGCTTTATCACCAAAACACTCCCTCTCTGGTAACGTGGTACTCGGTACTACTGAAAGGGCAGTATAAGGGCTTCTGCAGTAGCCTTGAGGCTTGCCCATCTGCCTTGCCCATCATGATGCGGCCAAGTGCGCCATTGGCACAGGAGATCCCACATCCTGGTCCAAGCCCGTGCTTTTTCATGGAGAGCCGGCTGGTGTTGCGGGGCTGGATATAGGACCATGGCTCATGTTCTGCTGCAGAGCCAGCAGAGCGCCCAAGAGTGTGCTGCTGGGTCGGACCTCCTCTCCGCACCTCTCTATCAAAGAAGAGAGCGAGAGCAACTTTGATCTAAGTATTACTAAAGAAAACAAATGTTCAAAGTTAGGCAGAGCAAAAGAGTGGTTGTCGATGGGTGTCTAATTCCACTGAAATGGATATGAATTCTTTATGGTTTGAACTAATTCTGTGGAATTTCATTAATGAAAAATTGCTAACCTGAGGCATTGCTTTCTCACACTTTCAGAAGGAAATATTTTTTAATTCCTCACTTTAAATCTGCTTCATTTTTACCAATATAAAAATCTTCAACTTTAGTGAAATGAATGTTCTTAACTTTCCTTTTTTTTTTGAACTGCTATATTTCCAGATGTTCATCCTACTTGGACGAAATGAAAGCATGTTGTAACACCCCATCTTTTTTTAAAAAACAGCTTCCAGGCACCACACTCACTTTAGCAGAGCTTGATATCTATTATTAAGGTGAAAAGCAATCTGGTGCTCAGAAGTGAAGATATTTGAATTGAATTCTGGCTACCTCTTTACAGACCTGTATGTCAACCAAAAGACAGAGTAGCTTGATGAGGGGCTGGTGCTCTTTTCTTTACACCAAATAAGCTGGGTAAGAGGCTTGACCTGTCCTGGGTTCGCCATTGACAAGTGATCTTTGGCAAACTGCTTCTATTTTTTCCCCTATCTATTTTGCGGTGGTAATTTAGTTGCATGTGTTTAACAAATGCTGAATAAGTATTAACACTGCAGTCCCCTTGAAAAGAAATCTGGTTTCCATTGGAAAGGAGTATTTAAGTGGGGGGAAGAAGGGTGACAAATTTGGATCTGGAATCTTTCAGGGGAGAGCTTTCAGCATCCTGGAATGTTTCACTCGATGCTTTCCAGCACAGCTTTGCCATCGGAAATTCAGATTCTTACAGAAAAGCTCCTCTGGAATAAAGTGCAAACATCCTATCCAGCTGCAATTATGGGAGTTCCAGATGCTATGCAAACTGAGCGCTTTCAATAGGATGAAAAGTCTAGCAGCTGCTCTCTAGGTCCTCAACCTGTACATGTAAACCATTCAAGAGAGACTTTGCTTGTACTCCTCAGAGGTGGCAAATACAATTCTCAAGTGTGGGGTTTTTTTGTGCAATGAAGGGCATTCACACTGTCAAAGATTACTTGTAATTCCACTGTGGGAAAATTAGGATTATTTCTGTGTACCTGTAGCATAACTGTAGTAGATTAATTCTAGCTGCTATTGCTTACTGATGTCACTGATAAACATTGCTTTGCAGGCGCCTCTTCTGCAAAAGTTCTTGTTTTAATCAGAAAGTCACCAAGACTCTAGGGCTTTGGTTTTTAGAAACCTAGATTAGCTAAAGCCACAAGTGCTTAACAGGATGACATTTCTCATCTTAGAAATACAGCTTCTTGTTCATTCCCACAGCTAATTTCTGTGGATTCTCAACTCCCAAACCAGTGCTGAGTCCAGGTAATACCATGCTGGTACATTTTGAAAGTGATGGGGAGAACAACTTCAGAGGGTTCAGAGCCTGGCTCACTTTTGTTCGTTCAGGTTAGTAGAGAGATGCTTGCTGTGTCTAACAATGTCTGCATCATCTGTAGCTATTCTTAGACACCTGAGCTTATTTTTTAGGCTAATCCTGCTGCATTCTGTCAAGGTAACTTTAAAACAGAACAGCTACTTGTGGCAGAGCTCCCTTCCCTGAATAAGGGAGATGAATTGAGGTTTTTTCTTTTTTTTTCTCACTGAGAAATGAGATGACTAACTTCTGTTACCTGAAACAAGCAGCCTTGTTAATTCTGTCAGTCTGTTATTCGCCTTGAAAGTCTCGTTATAGAGGAGACTCTTGATCCTGGGGGCTAGTCTGCTATTGTTGCTTTCTGCTTTCATGAATGTGTGCCAGCTGCTTGGGGGGATGAATAACTTTTCCTTTCCAGAGTGGGGACTTTTTTTGAGGGGACAAGCCAGAGCTATTGACCCAAGTCGGAGCTAACTCTTATTTCTTCTTTTGCAGAGGAGGCAGGAAGAGAAGATTCAGGATTAACTACTGCACCGATGTTGCCTCTGAAGGATGTCTCCTTAGGTAAAGAAAGTAAATTCTGCTCAGTTCATCTGGGGAGCTTTCCTCTAATATATATGAGGATTATGCAGTGAGGCAGATGCTTTCTGACATCAGGTCCCCTTTTGTGCACTTCTGTGGATGAAAAGTGATAGACAGGTGCCCCATCTCTCATTCTCCGTACGTGTGGTACATCCTCTCTGTTCTGGTTGCATGCACTTCCTATTGGGAGCCGGGACACAGACTAGAGGATGGGAGAGACCTGCTTCCAGTGGCTGAGCCTCGTTTGCTCTCTGAAGTGCTCTCTTGCAGACACCTGTGGCCTTCCCCCAGTTACTCCCCAGTGGCTGTTCAAGCGTGTTAGCGGGGCTGAGGAGGCCTGTCCTCACTGTTGGCCATGGCACGCTGCCCTGAAGCTCCTTGGAGACTACCAGTGCAATGGGGCTGTCATCAGCCCTACGTAGCTGCTGACAGCTGCCCGCTGTGTGCAGCTGTGAGTGTGACTAGAACGTCCCCAGGCCACCTCTGCTCCTCTCCCCGTGCTGTGCACTCCCCCTGCTCCTCCAGGCTGGGGTGCCAACAGCTATAAATTATATTCACACCTTCACGTCCTCTATGAAACCTTCCTTCTGCCCTTCCTCCAAGATCACTGGTTTTAGAGATGGCAACAGTTTGCTCTTGCTTGTAGGAGATCCATCAAAGTTAATTGGACTATCTGCTATCAGAGCTGTAGCAAAGCCAGAACTGATGCAACACGTGTCGTGATGAGAAGCTCTTGCTCAGCAGTCCTGGGAATAAGTGACTAATTAGAGAAGAGCCAGAAGGATATATGACTGCTGAATAAGGAAGCTGTATAGCTGACTGTAAGTAGCTCCAATATGTTTGCTTTCATTATATAGATCCAATAAAACCTTGCACTGGACTGTGACAGTAGGAGACCGTGACAGAGCCCTGAGAGAGTCAACAAAACAGGTAAAAACCAAGCAATGCCATTAAAAATGTTGAATTTGGTGTATTTGCCCCTACAATATTTCTCAAAACAGATCTATATGCACAGATAAAACGGCGTTGACAGCAAGGCAAAATGACTGAGATGTAGCACAGGTTGAGGAACGAGAAAGGAAATCCAGTAACTCTGATCTCATTCAGCTAACCTGCAGTTTATAGAAGTATGTTTTATATCTGGTTCTTATTACTAGCAGTAAAAAGTCTTAAAATCTAACAGAGATGACTGAGGGTCCTCAGCATCTTACTCTTTTGGTGCTGAGCAATATATCTGTCTATAAAAAGCTTGCCGACTCTTCCTAATGGGAAGGAGGAAGAAATACATGTGGAAAAGAAGCACAAGTGACTCGCACTAGTCATCTGTAAAACCTTAGTGGCTTGTGTTTGCACAATGAAGCAGTCAGCCTTCACTCTAGGCTCAGGAGGTCTACATAATCCATCCCAGCAATCTTCTCAACTGAAAAATGGAGAAATGGGGGGTTTGTCTTCAAAGTCCTCGCACACTCTTTGTATCTTTTCATGACTTATTTTGGGCTTGGTCATTGCTTGTGGGATTTTGCCCTCTTCCTTTACAAGTATGCTTTCAGAACGCACTTAGAGGGCAGCTTGTTCCTCCTCTGCCCTGACCCCTCTGCTCTGGTCGCAGGTGAGACAGGTGACAACCATCGTGGTGCATCCCCACTTCGACGTGCTGAGCTATGACTCTGACATTGCCCTGGTGCAGCTAGACGTCCTTCTGGAGTACAACGCTGCTGAGGCCAGTGTGTCTGCCCAACGGCACAGAGACGTTATCTTTGCCTTCCCTCTGCACCTGTCTGGATGGGGGATCATCGAAGAAGGTGGCTCTTGTGATTTTGCATGTTTGCCTATTATGAGCAGAACATACATTTCAATCTCGTATTTTATTCTTCTGCCCAGACCTAACCTTGAATTTATTTCCCAAGCAGAGAGCCGAGCTATGCAGTTGCAGCAGACACAGGTGCCTGTGCTTGAGAATGAAATCTGTGAGAGAAATTACTACTTCAGTCACCTTGGAGGGATCACAGCCAGGATGCTTTGTGCTGGCTTTGTTTCTGTGGGAGGCCAGGACTCCTGTCAGGTGAGGTAAAACTAAAGGTAAGCACTCTTGAAGGCGTCTGCATATGGATGTTGGTAGACCATCTGGGGGAAGGGACTGGGGAGGACAGAGGGGAGAACAGCATATAGCAAGAGACAGTTAAAACCTCCAACAACTTGCTGTCCCTGGAATGGACAGTAATTACAAGAGCAATAGACGCGGTTGATCTGTACAACAGGAGATATCTGCAATGCACAGTGTTGCTTGGAAGTGGGACCACAGAGTTTAATAATCTTTCTCTGGACTGTGATTTTCATGAGACCTGCAGAGGAGAGGATGTTCTTCCCTTGCACTTCCCGAGTCCCATCTCTTATCCCAGTGAAACACTTCCCATTATAGCTTGCTTAGAAACCCTTTCATAGCACTCCTTTGTCAAGATAAACTATGAAGACTTCTATTGGTTTTATAAAACTCCTGTATTCAGAGCACTCTTCAAGAACTAACTAATGTCTTTGAAATCATGAGGCAAGCAGGTAAGAACAGCTGAGTAAATAGAAGGCAAAGTAATTCTGGCTGAGGCACTGTCAAGCTAAAATGCGGGTTCTGCTCAATACCGCAATCTTATGGCGGACTAATAAATTATGTGTGACACTAAAGAGCACTATTCAATCATATTTAGTCTGCAGCCTGTGCTCAGTCTTCACGCTGATAAGCAAGCCTTTAAATCAGTGTCTTCATTCCACGCTAGGGCTGAGTTGCACCAGCAGCTGCATGCCTTGTTCTTGCATGGAGGCTTTTTCTTGGGCAAATCTGATCTGCAGCAGCTCTCTTCTTAGCTGCAGCAGTGTGGAGGCCAAACGAGATAACTGTGAGTCCTCTCTCTTTTGGTTCCTAGGGTGGTTCTGGTGGCCCCTTGGTTTGCAACAAGGAAAATAAACCATTTGCTCTTTACAGCATTGTCAGCTGGGGTGTTGGCTGTGCCAGCCCAAAGAAACCAGGGGTCTATTCAAGGGTGAGGATTTTCCTGGACTGGATAAGACTGCCCATGAAAGGTGAGTTTTCTTTGTCTAAGGAAGATGAGTCCTGAATATAACCCCTTTGTATAAAATATCCTAAGTCCATTGAGCTTTTGTCTGGTAGACTTTCTGAGGCAACTTAAGAGGAAGAAAAAAAAAAATCCAGGTGATTTCCTGCAGAAAGCCTCCACTTCCTCCTCTTCCTCATGCCTTCCCCCTAAACAAAGCTTACTGGAAATTAGAATGGGAGTTTCAGGAGCATAAGACTTGCATTTAATACTTCTGGCTCTCAAATTGAATATAATCTTTGGACAGATACTTTTCTCAGTAAAAAGCGTCTGCTTGTGAAAATGCCTACCAGCCCCACACTCTGATGGGCAGCATAATTTGGGACAATGCTGTAAACCGAACTTGTGTGTGTGTGTGTATCTAGATATAATTAGCACCACATTCAGAAGTCTGCAGGATAAGTTTTGCCAGAGAAAGTGCTAGAGAAAGAGTAGCATGTGCTAGTGAATAAGGACCGATTGCATGAAAGTGATGGTATCTTACAAAAGGAAGAGGCCCCTGTTCTTAAACTGGGGGCTCTCTCGTGCAGAGGAATGAGGGGAGCAAACCTGTTTGAGGCGCTCCACGTGAACCCAGCATTGTCATACTGCTTCCCTGCATCAGCTCTCTCTCTTCTTCTTTCCCAA